GGTGTCAAACATCAGTGGGAGCTATCTGCACAGCAGGGAGCCAGGCTGAACTTGTGGCTGTGTTATTCTGAGTTCCTCTTCTGCCATCCGGTATCTTTTGGTGAGAGAGAAACTCAGGAAAGACAATTGGACAGTGAAAAAAACCTGCTGCTTTGCCAAAAAAGAGTCTCTCCTGCAGTCTCAGGTAAAACACCAGCTTGAGAGGAGCTAGGACTGCACATATCACACGTGTGTTTGGTGTCTGACAAAATGCCACCCGTGAAATCCATGCACCTTCTGGTATCACCCCTCACCCGTGGCAGTGGTGCTGGGCAGTGTCTGCAGAGAGCAGGGATACGGTTTTTCGGCTAGGAAGAGGCTCCAGGACGTTTCCTGCCCTGGAGATGTAGCTGCAACGGCAGGTTGAGGAGCACAGCACACCCCGTGTGGCGCTGTCCAGTGCCTGCCACGGAGGCTGGAGGGAAGCTTGGCCCGTGAAGCCGCTCTCGGCAGCGCCTTGCCCTGGGCTGCCCTGGGGAGGGCTGCTAGCACCAGTGCAGTCCTTGTGATGTTGCTGGTGAGGTTCCAGTGCTGGGCGCGTGTGTCCCCGGCACCAGGAGCCGGCTCGTTGTGGCAGAGGGGACCTGTGCTGCGTGGTGGCCTGGCCGGGCCCTGTGCCCAGGCTCTGCCCAGGCCTTCGCTGCCGGGTCTGGGGATGTTTCTGCACCCGAGTTGTATGGAAAGCTTCGGTCGTCGTTCTAGTGTTATTTAAAACTGCGCATACTATCTGTGTGATTTAAAAACAGACTGTTTACATGAAATATTTTGTATCTTAAGATGTGTGTACTGTAAAAAGAAAAAAAAAAAACAAAAAAAGGAAAGGATGCAAAATGATGTTTTTCTACAACTGTCGGCAGTGACTGCATGTCTGTGTCATCGTCCAGCGACTGTTGTTCCTCAGGGGTCTCCCCGCCGTTCCTGTGATCCTGTCAGAAGCATAGGGAAGCAAGTGAGTCCCTGTACAGTCTTGGGAAGAAGGTTTTGTGCCTTAAGAATGGGACCTGCTTCCCTCCTATTTATTGTGTTAATTTATACCGTGATTGCCATGGAAATGTCTCTTGTATTTTGTTTGTACATAGTTTCTTTTGATTGTTGTACAGCAGTTTTTCTTGTATATAAAGTAAACATGTTTCTGAGCTTCCAGTAAGACTTCTCTGTTACTGACTGAGTTGTGTGAGGGCCGCAGTGCCCGTCAGGTGGGAGCCAGCTAATAAAAACCTGTGCTGTGACCAAATGGCTTCGTCCTGAGTTGTATCCCAAGTTGAGAGGAGCGATGTGGTCGATAGGATGGCTGTGGATTAGTTTGATAGCAGTTCTTTGCGTTGGTTTAACTGGCACGGAGTAGCAGCCATCATGCGGTTTATTGGTGTTAGCTGTTCTCTGCAGTGACCAGAAGAGGTGTTTGAAGCGTGGTGGTTCTGCTGCTGTTCGTCTGGATCGGAGCTCTGCTCTCTGCAGACCCACAGCTGGATGGAAAGACACCCTCACAACACCCAGCAGGGTATTTGGTAGTGAACTCTGCTTGGAGACCTCTCATCTTCCTGGTCGTGGTGGTGCTGGGCCCCGATGAGAGCGGTGCAGTTGTTTCTCTACCCCACTTGGGCCTCTCTCATTCAGTTTACTGCAGGCAAGGTGTACGGTAACTGGAATAAGTGAGTGCATTGACAAAAACGTGGGAGAAATTAATTTTCCCATGAAATGACATCTGTAAACATAAAACATTTGGAGCTGTTTGCATGAGCAGTCCATGGTGGGATCGTGAGGAGCGCTCTCTTCCATCAGCGCAGGTTGATGTGTTTGTCAGATGCTGCAAAGAATCCAGCAGATCGCTTTTGAGCTGAGAGGATGCTCATGGAGTCCCATAGCGCTGCTGCAGGGTGAATGGAAAGGAACTCAGAATGGTCGTAAATGCTTTGTGTGACAAAGACTCTTGGAGTTGATAGTTAAACTGAAGGATTTCCTTTTTCTCTTTGTGGAGGGAATAGTTTGTGACAGCAGCATAAGAACCCTTAGTAATATTATACTCCTGCGAGATGAACATGTTAAAATTGATTATTAAAATATTAGTTACCTAGGCCTGGTAGTAAGGAGAGAAGAGGTGTGCTGGGAAGATCTCGAGTACCAAGTTCTTTTTTAGAAGGTGAGTTCTGCTGCCATTCCCCTTGTCCCGTGTGGTGTTGGGTTGGGTTTTTTAACGTGTTTGGTATTTTTAATACAGTGTAAAGCATCGGGAGAGTTGAGGAGAAGCCAAGGAGATGTCCTGCCGAACGGGCAGTACTGGGAAAAAAGAGGTTTAGAAGCAGCCCTGTGGTTCCTTACCTGTAAAGCAGCTCCAGAGTCCTCAGGTAAATTCCTGGTTTGGCTGCCGTGTGCCTGTTTGGAGTGAACGCCTGCGCCCCCCCGCTGGGCCTTGAGCAGCACCCGGTGTTGAATTCTACATGGGCAGAACAAAAAGGTGTCGAGGTGGCAGGAAGTGGGGTTCTGTGTTAATAACAGCTAAAAAACACTTTGCAGCTCTCTAGCAACCGCTGTTGCTGTAGCTGAGCTTGGTTTTGTAGGGAAGCAAGAGTGCTCTGTGGGAGGTGGCTGATGGAGCGTGGCACTTCTATAGGTCTTGCAAGAAATCGGTCCCCAGGGTGAGAGGGAGACCTTTGCAGTACTCTTCTGCAGGGCAAGCCTCCAGTGTGCGTACAGGAAGCAGACCCAGTGCTTTGATTGCCCAGCTTTGGGCTTTTTGCAAATGAAAAGCTGTTGTGGTGAAGGAGAAAGACCTGGTGAATGGAGCACAGGATTGTTTGCTGAGGAGCTGTGATTTGGAGGCCTTGTAGCTTTGCCGCCTCAGTTTCCCCCACTCCATCAAAGCGTACATCTGTCTATGGAGTTTATGGTAGGTTATATTTTCAGTTAATCCCCATTTCAGTGTGGAAGCATTGGAGAAGAGC